GATTGAGGGAGAGGAGGCTGGCTGGACTGAGCAGCAACAGGTTCATTACCACCCTGCGTTATCAAGGAGATGGTGACCGCAGAGACGACCTCCCAGTCCCCTGCTAGGCTCAGGTAAAAATCAGAGGACGATCGGAAAGTACTAAAATACCGCAGTGAGCAGGCCGCCCTCCACCCTGCAGAAATCTGGGTCTCTGGAAGCAGAGCCGACTGAGTGTCAAAGTTCCCTTGGTAACGGTAAGTGCAGCCAGTGTGAGGAAGAACCAAAGCCCCCAAGGTAGCGTGAACCCTGTCTGTTCTCCTCATCTTGTATAAAATGACCTGGTCGAGCCAACTGCCTTTTGTCAATTCTCATAATGCTCACCCATTGATGCTTTGATTTCTGCCTTCACCCGATTTTGTCATTTTGAGACAAGGTCTGGTATAGCAGCCAGGCAGTGGTGGCACATGCCTTTAATCCCAGTACTTGGGAGGCTCTTCCAGAGGTCCTGAGTTCAATTTCCAGCAACCACGTGGTGGCTCACAGCCACCTATAATGAGATATAGTGCCCTCTTCTGGCCTGCAGGTGTACGTGCAGGCAGAACACTGTATTCCTAATAAATAGATCTATCTTTTAATTTTTTTTTTTTTTACATTCCAATCCCGGTTCCCTTCCCTCATCTCCTTCTGCTCTCCCTCCACTGCACCTCCCATCCGCTCCTCAGAGAGGGTAAGGCCTCCCACAGGATGGCAACTAAGTCTGTTCCATCACCTCATTGAGGCAGGACCAAGGCGCCCCTCCCCCATGTCTAGGCTGAGCAAAGTATCTCTCCATAAAGAATGGGCTCCACAAAGTCAGTTTGTGCATTAGAGGTAGACCTTGGCCTCACTGCCAGTGTCCTCATATACTGCCCAAGCCACACCACTGTCACCTGTATTCAGGGATCCTAGTTGAGTCCTTTGCGGGTTCCCCAGATGACAGTGCGGAGTCAATGATCTCTTACTGGCTCTGGTCAGCTGATTCTGTGGGTTTCCCCATCATGGTCTTGATCCTTTGTTCATATCACTCCTTACTCAATTTAAAAAAAAAAAAATCTTAAAAAAAAAAAAAAGACACCAGGCATGATCTTGGAGGAACAGCTCCTCTTCCTGGGCTCCTAGATCCAATTGGGAGAGCCAGGCTCCAACAAAATGAATACTCAGATGACTGAGAAAAAAATGTGTGTGTCCAAAGTAGAGGTTCTGGATAAGGCTTTGTAAATCAGCCACTGGGGCCTGCTATGAAACAGACTTAAGTCCCCCACATCAAGCTGACAAAGACTACAGCCCCCCTGTCCCTTTAAAGCTGGGGTAAAGGGGACTGAGAGAGTGGAAATCAGATCAGCAGGCCCTTGCAACCAAATTCTGAAGATGTAGAGTTGAAAATCTTCAGAACCCTCTGGACTTGCGTGCCCAGAGCTCCTTCGGGCTTCTGTTGTTTGGTGGTGATGAAAATGGAACTCAGGGCCTTGTGTATGCTTGAACAAGTGTTCTACCACCGAACCACACCTCAGCCTCCAGCTGGTGGATTTGGGGCAGGCATTCCACCACTGAGCTTCTTCCCTGGCCAATGCTATTCTTCACCCTGTATCCCAACTGAGTGAGGGGGTGGGACTTGATTTCATTTGTCATCGTCACCCTGGCAACTGACACTCCTCCTGTCATTCCCCAGTACCACTGAGCTACCCTGATCTGTGGTCCTCATTTACAGCTAAATTTACTAAGCATCTTGAAGGGCCTTAAAGCCAGCGTCCCAGTGAGTGCACCTAACTGTGTTGTGTCAACTGTTTCTGAGTCGGTCAACGTCCTGCTGCCTGCAAGATGTAAGACTCTCAGCTCCAGCACCACATTTGCCTGAATGCCGCCATGTTCCCCATAATGATAATGGACTGAACCTCTAAAACTAAGTGAGACACCCCAGTTAAATGTGTTTAAGAGTTGTGGTGGTCATGGTGTCTCGTCACAGCAATAGAAATGCTAAGACGGGCACCACCAACAAAAACAAAGGATTCCCCAAAAGTAGAAAGTAGAAGCTTGATAAAGCCATGAGTTCAATTAGAGCAATGGCAAATTATGTGTGGCTACCTTGTTAAAGAAATCTCTCCCTCTTATTCTCACCCAAGCAACCTGTTAACTGTCTGTAAATCCTCTGGGAGTAGAGTGACCTCATAAAGCCCCACCCCACCCCCCAACTTCCTTGAAGAAAGATTATCCTGGTAATCATAGCTGTTGACAGTTTGTTCCTCCCAGAGGACAGAATTCCACAATTCTCTGCTTTGAAGTCCATTGCCTATAACAGGTATGCGTCCCACACAGGGGAAGCCAGGCTTGGTTGGGTATGCTGTTTGGTTGCAGGAACAATAAAAGGCCCAGAGCAGTAAGAATGGTCAGCTTGTCTGCCATGGAGTCTACAGAAGGGTAGACAAAACCAATACAGGAGCCACAGAGATGCCTGTGATTGGTCATTCTTTGCTTTTGAATTTTTTTATTGCAGCTACTAATCTCTTGTGTGGGTGTACGTTGAGCCATCTCATCAACCCTATTTTGCTTGTTTGTGTGTCTTTAAGATGTATTTACCGTTGTGGGAAGGAATGCATATTCAAAAGCATACATGTGGAGATCAGAGAACAATTTGGGGAGCAGCTGTCTCTTTACACCTTCTTTTATTCATTTATTCATTTATTTGTTTTGGTTTTTCGAGGTGGGGTTTCTCTGTGGCTTAGGAGGCTGTCCTGGAACTAGCTCTTATAGACCAGGCTGGTCTCGAACTCACAGAGATCTACCTGCCTCTGCCTCCCGAGTGCTGGGATTAAAGGTGTGCACCACCACCACCCTGCTTCCTTCCACCTTCTTTTGAGTCTGCCACTGAATGGCCAATGCCCCTGTTTCCTCATCCCATTTCATTACAAGTCATAACACAATTATATAATATGCAGAGTTTCCTTGGAAGAGGTTGAGGAGTGGAGTAAATTCTTCCCTAGGTCATGCCAGGTCCATAAAAAAGGACAAAACTTAGGTGCCTGCAGAGCTGTGGGAGACACAGTGTAGCAGGAAGGCAGGCCAGGTGAAATAGGAGACTCCATGTTCCCGAGCCAGCCACCTTAACTCTCAGTCCATTCCTTCTTTTGCTGAGTGACGGACCCCGTTACTGCATCTCTCTAGTGTCTCCAGGATGTCTGTGCCATAAGGTTGCCCTAAAGAGTAAATGATCTGATTCCCAGACTCCCAATGTCTATATAGAGCCTTCAAGTTTACTGAAGGATGAGTGCAACGAGGAAGGGGCCAATGAATGAGAGGGTTGGCAATCCAGATACGCACCACAGAGCTGTCAGGAGCCTCCCCGAGGTGACATGGGAGAAAAGGCCAACGAGGGCAGAGGTATTTTAGTTTCCTGTGAATGGTGGCTTAGAACAGCAATTTCTTCTTTCAGAAGTTCAAAAATCAAGGTACTGCAGGATCCTGTGCCCCATGGAGGCTGTAGGAAAGGATTTTTGTCATACTGATTCCAACCTCTCCTGGTTGGTGCCACGGGCCTTTAATCCCAACACTCAGGATGCAGACGAAAGAGGATCTCTATGATTTAGAGGCTAGCCTGGTCTTCATAGTGAGCTCCAGGACAACCAAAGTTATATAGACAGAAAAAACAAAAACAAAACAAACAAACAAAAAAAACAAAACTTCTGGTGGCTCCAGGTATTTCTTGGCCTATGGCTGCACCACTCCAATCTCTGCTTCTTGTTAATTAAAAAAATATATTTTTTATGTATATTTGTGCTGTGCATGTATACCTGTGTTGCAGAAGAGGGCATCAGATTCTATTATAGATGGTCATGAGTCAGAATGTGGTTGCTGAGAATTGAACTCAGGACCTCTGGAAGAACAGACAGTGCTCTTAACCTCTGAGCCATCTCTCCAACCCCCAATCTCTGCTTCTACAGCCATATGGCCTTTCCTCCAAAATTCTTTCCAAGGGGGAGATGTAAACTGCGTCTAGTCGGTCTACTAAGATTCCAGTGGCAAACCAAGGCACATTCCACCAAACTTCCAGGGGTGTAGGTACCCCTCCCCCAACAGGCCCCATCTGAAAAGTCTATCCCTCAGAGAGGATGGTTTCCCCTCAGCCATAGCTGCATAGATGGAGCCTCCCTCCCCTAGTCTTCCTGGCCTGTATATTCTAGCCCCTCCAAGATGACATGCAATTAAGGCAGAGTTGCATACAACTGTATACAGGTGAGCTCTTATGACCCTTCCCAAGCCTCCATGACGGAATATAAACAGTAAAGTCTAGATTGTATAATATTTCTGCAAGGAGTTCAGCTGAACTCCCCAAAATGGCGATTTCTTGGCTCTGAGGATAGCCAAGCACAACGCCTTCTCCCCATCCCCGTTTTGTGGGGGGTGGTGATGCTGGTGGGCAAGAGTTCTGTCGCTCACAAAGGCTGTCACCATATTCAAGGCCCATCTCTGTAATCCAGGATGATTTCATCATGAGGCCCTTACATCATACATCCTAGTTCAAAAAGGTCGCGACCACAGTCTGAACATCAGAACAGGAACAGACCTTTCTGGGGGAAGAGGGTTACCATTCCACCCACCTAGACAGCAAATGATAGCCAGGCCAGAATGCATGGATCTGTCATGGCTATGAGGCCAAGTTTGGCCAAGCAGGTGGACTTATCGAATACCCACACATTCCAAACCAGGCGAAAATCAGGTTCACAATTTAAACAAACATCCATGGTGTCGTCAACAAGAGCCATGAGGAGCCATCATGAGACAGAAAACTGTAGGAAGGCCTGTCCACAGCCTGATGCCTTCCATGAGGTGGGTGTAACAGGCCCCCAGACCTTAGCACAACTGACTCCATGATGGAAGTACGTTCAGGCCATAAAACTCAACACAAAGACCTAAGCCATCAAAGTCTATAGTTCGTGGAAAGTCTCTAAATGGACTAACCCTCCTTTGGGGCTTCTATAGTTCTGCTCCTGGCTAACTGTTCTTGTTAACTGAAGTATGTTAACCCAGGACATGGCTTTTGTGCTTAAAAACTCACTCTGAAAAAGGGCCTGAGGCTACACCAGGATCCAGAACACCCAGTGTAGTCACCAGCCGGCTAATAAAGACTTTCTACTGGCTTGAATCTGCATCCAAGTATTCTTCTCTGATGGATACCCCACAGTAGCTGGGAGGCAGAGGCAGGTGGATCTCTGTCAACTCGAGGACAGCCTGGTCTCCAGAGTGAGTTCTAGTACAGCTGAGGCTACACAGAGAAACCCTGTCTTGAAAAAAGGTTCACAACTGCCCTCCAGCTCCAGAGGATCAATCACCCTTTCTGGCCTCCTTGGACTCTCGTGCACACACACTGACTTACACCCCACCCCCACCCCAAATAGTAACAACAATAATATTGTTGGGTTTTTTTTTAAGATTTTGTTTATTTATTATGTATACAACATTCTGCTTCCATGTATATCTGCACACCAGAAGAGGACACCAGATCTCACTACAGATGGCTGTGAGCCACCAAGTCCCCAATTAAATTGTTTTTTGTTGTTGTTGTTGTTGCCTCGGTCATGGTGCACCTCCCCCCCCCCCCCCCCCCTTTTTTTTTTTGGTTTTTTGAGACAGAGTTTTTCTATATTGCTTTGGAGCCTGTCGTAGAACTTGATCCATAGACCAGGCTGGCTTTGATCTCACAGAGATCCACCT